CGGAGAGGGCCGGCGGCTGCACCGCATCCCACTCCTGTTGCAGCTCCTCCTCATCAGCAGGCAGACCCAAATCCGCGGCCCGGCGCTGTGCTGGGGTGGCATTGCAGGGCCCGTATAGGCGTTGTGGGGGAACACCCCTGTGGGCCGTTCTACCCTTGCGTTTAGTGCCCGACCCATACTGGTAGACAGGCCCCACCGTCACCCGCAGTCCATGCAAGCAGGCCCGGTGGGATTGCAGATGGTATTTCAACCGGTCCGAAGAGTGGAAGTCGTGCATGCACCAGAGGCAGACAGAGCCGGCCATGTAAGCTGTCACATCGGACAGCACACCATGTTTGCGATGCATGTGGGCTCGGACCGCGTGCAGGCTCGGGAAGATGATGCTGCACACAGGGCATCGATGGGCCTGGGGGGGTCCTAAAATTAGGGTGGCCTTACGGGTAGAAAGGTCATCCCAAAGCTGAGCACAGGCAATGTACCGATGTCCAAACTTGCTGAGTGCCTTGCAGGCACGAAGAAGAGCACGGCTGTGGTCTTGGACAAACAGAGCTGTAACGGCGGGGGGGGAATTAGGGTCCCAAACCTCAAGCGCAACGCCTACCCTCATACATGCCGCGACGAGGGCCTGGCACCAAGGGAGGGCCCTGTTCCACGCCGCATCGACGATGTCACGCACCGCCGTGGGTGCTTTACAGAAAAGCTGGACGCAGAGGCGACACTGACTGATGGTGGTAGCCAGGTCAGGAGGAGTAATGTCAGCGAGGAGCCGGAGCAGTGGAGTGGTGAGCTTGTGCCCAACCTGCCATGAGGACAGCAGGATCCTGGCCGTGCGTTCAAAAAGGCCAGCGAGAGGGGCCGTGGCACGGCCGGAGTCGGCCAGAGACATAGCAAGGGAGGAATAAGCAGAGGGCAGGACTCGTCCCGCGACCCAAGCCCGTTTAAGTTCCCAGGGCAAGCAATTGCTGCAGAGGAGAGTGCGAGCAAGGGAGGCCGCAGCGGCGCCTCGTTGGGCGGCAAGCTCACAGTCGCGGCGGCCCGTATCCCGAGGCAGCTGAGCCACACCCAGATACTTGTACTCGGGACACAACTTGATGCTGTCAGAGTCAGAGATCTTTAACATCGCATCACCGGTGAGGAGAGCTCCACGGGCCGCTCGAGCGCCCTCCCCCCGGATGTCAACAAGGGCCTCAGTTTTACCCGCACCCAAATTAACACGAAATCGGAGGAGTCGGAGAGTGTCAAGGATAATGCCGACCAGCGCGGGCAGTTGAACAAGAAGATCAGCTGGTCGGTCAAAATCGGCCATAACTGCAAGGTCGTCAGCCCAGCCGATGGGCTTGACCCCTGGGGAGAGGCCAACTTCAGCACCGGCGCTGGTGTGAACAATTCCCTGACGGGTGGCAGCGCGCTGGATATGCTGAAGGCCAACAGCGAAAAGGGCTCCAAAGAGGATGTCGGCTAGGCCATCACCTGGACGAGACCCCCGTGACGCAAGAAAAATGTTGGAAGAGCCAGAGAGTGACCAGTGGGAGAGGGCGACACAGTCACGGAGGAGTGCAACAACATCCTCTGCAACACCCAAGGCAGTAAGGGCCCCTTGTTGTTGAAGACTGAGCACCAGCCCAGCAAGGTGGTGATGCTCTGGCAGGGCAGTGTCATCAGGGAAGCCTTCAAAGAGGAGATCCCGGCTGGCCTCATAGTACGCGGCCTGGATATCGACGAAGACCACGGCAACACATCGGCCAGCTGAGATGGAAAGGTCCCAGGCACAACGGAAGGCGGCCAACGCAAATCCTGTGTGGACACCCTTGCGGCCCCCAAGCTGCATAGGCTCGTATCGCGACAAGACGTGGCCTCCCACAGTGGAGCGCAGGTGCGAGTGCCATAGCTTCGCGATGCCATTCAGTAGCGCGATAGAGCGGTAATTAGCAGGGAGAGAGGCTGGGCCCTTCTTGTAAAGGGCGCATACAATGGCCGCCTTAAAGTCAAAAGGCTCCCTTCCTTGGAGAGCGATGCGCACGCACAGGGGCCAGAGCCACTGCCCTGCAGAGGCTCCCTGCGTGCGCCAGAGCTCGTTCCGCAGTCCGTCTGGTCCTGGGGCCTTGGCGGCCGCCTGACGGACACACATTTGTTCCATCTGCAGGAGGGTGGGAACCGCCTCGGCACACGGGAGGCGCGGTTCGTTCATCCATCGCTCAGCGGCGCTGGAGAGCTGCACTGGGCTGACCAGACTGGCCCCCTCCTGGTCGCGGAACTGGGCCTCCAACTCGCTATCAATGTCGAAGCCACCGGCTGCGTGAACAGACCGACGTTCGTGTGCCTTGCGAGAGGCCCAGCGAAGATGCCGGATGGATTCCAAAGGGACTCCGGTGGCTTCCCAGTGTTTGGTCGCCTCCAGAGTAAGTGTGCGGAAATGAGCCAGCTTGTCGGACCTCGCTAGATAGTGGGCCTTCTGCTGAAGACCCCGTACATGGAGATTACAAGCCTGGAGAAGAAGGCGGGCATGTTGCAGGCCCGTCGGATCAGGGCGCAAGGGTGCAGCATCGGGGTGTCGGTGTGTGCAACCCAGTCGCCACACTTGCAAGAGAAAGCGGCGCTGCTGCCACTCCAAATTAGTTCGCAGCCGGGGGAGCTGTTCTCGCGCCTGCCGAACTCGATCGAGTGCGGTGACAGAGGCCGCTGTGATGTAGGGCTGTCGGATGGGGCGGCGTGGAGGGCGAGGAAGGGCCCGAAGCAAGGAGGAGTGCTGGGTTTTAAGAGCCTGCACTTCGGCGCCCACGCTATCGATGTGCCTGAGGGTAGACGGCAGAGCTCCCCAAAGATCGGCAGCGATGGCTCGTGCCTGGTGCACAGTGGCACGGGGCGGGGCCGGCGCCTTGGGCCGGGTGGCCTGGCCCCGGAGGTCGCACTCTACCAGAAGCGGCATATGATCCCGACGACCATTGAGAATGTCCAGCTCAGGAAGCTGTCGGGTGCGACGGCAGGACCAGGGGCCAGCCTGGAGCAAGATGTGATCTAGACGCTTGCGGGTGCCGCCAGTATGCTCCCAGGACCAGCTTGAAGGTCCGAGAAGGAGGCAGGGGCAAGGAGGCCAAAACGCTGGATGGTATCAAAAAGGCCTTGCTCGCCCGCTCCTTCCTCGCCATTACCAAGAGCATCTCCGATATATGCATGGTCATCATCGGCCCAAAGAAGATCAGCGTTAGCATCGAGACCCAGGACCAAAGTGAGGGCCCGTGGGAGCTGGCACAGCTGAGATTGCAGTGAGGACCAAAAGTGGTGGATTTCGGGCACTGGTCTGTCGGCGTGTGGAGCATGCGCCGCGACAACGGCCAAAGGGAGGTCCGCCCTTTTACAGACTATGACTAAAAGTCTTGGGTCTGCACAGGCAATGCGCCAGTCATCCAGGCGGAGGGGGGGGTTAACTAGCTGGGGCCTAATCCAAATTTCGCAACCGTAGCTACCTTTTTGGGCACCGGAGCGCCAGGTGAGAAGGCCGGCTGTGTCCCATCGGCCTCCTTTGCTGCGCGTCTCCTGAAGGCAGACTACATCGAGGCCCAGTTGGGCGACTTGAGAGTACAAGTATTGACGCCGCTGGCCATGACCCGACGGGTTAAAGAAGGAGGCACAAGAATCTCGCATTGTTTGAACGTTAGCCGTAACAATGCGAAGGGAAAGCGAGGGTGCTAGCGACAACGGTCGCTGGGGCTCTAGCGACGGAGCAGCACAGGGCACCTCGGGGGGAGGGCACTGGACCTCGGACCCTCGACCGGCTGGCGCATGGGGGAGTGATTGTGCGGTGAGGCGGACACAGGGTCTGCCTTGGATCACCTTGGCATGTGGAATGAGCCAGAGCTAAGGCGCCGCTTCCTGCAGCAGGGCGGGGAGGGCAGCATCGACACGTTTCCAGGGATGCCACGAAGTCCGGCCGGCCCAGCCAGCGAGAAAGTCGGCGATCGTATTAGGGAGAATGCCGACATGGCTGTGCACGTGTTGAAAGCGAGTGGACATGCGGGACTGGACAGCTTGCCAGATATATCGAGTGAGGGTGGTGACTGGCTCACTGGCCTGCGCTTGCCCAGCCGCGATCTGGAGCGCAGAGGCATTGTCAACCGCAATGGTGACCTTGGCAGGCGGTGGCGACGTCAGAAGGGAGAGACGGTCGGCCCAAGCGAGGAGCCAGAGGCCCGCGGCTTGCAGGGCCCAGAGCTCAGCTTGAAAGGGGACACCACTCCCGGGGGCCGCAGTGCCAGAGATCCAAGGGGTATCGGCCCCCGCGGCGCCGAACCAACCAACCCGGTGCCACTTGTGACGCCACCAGACCCATACGCAGAAGGCCCATGCTCCTCCCCGCTCGCCGCTCCCATCAGTGGCGATGAGAACCTGATCGGGTACACCTCCAGACCAGAGTGGGAAGCTGGAGAAGGCCTGGCGATAAGGCGCTGGCGGGAGATTCGGGAAGAGGTCGTGCATCCACCACAACTGGTGCAAGGAGGCTTGAGCGGCACACTCCTGATGGATATCTGCCGCCCAGGAGATTCCATCCGGGCTGTGCCAATCTGGCGCCCCCCATGCACGAAGATAGCAACTGGTGCGGGAGAGCAGCCCGAAATCCACTTCATTAAGCGATGGACCTGGGGTCCGAACAAGGGCATTAATGGGGACCGGCGGGAAACCTAGGGCCATCTTACCCGGAAACAACTCGGGCAGCCCAGCCAGAATAACCCAAGCACTGAGAAGAAAGAACCAGTGCCGACCCAGGCGCCCGTGAACGACCAGGCTGGCAAGCAACGGAAGCAAAGTGCGGGAGGGAGCGCTGCCCAGAGGGGAGCCGCTGTCACCATCCCGCAGGAGTCCATCTGCACCATGGCGAGGCACCACGCGAACGCTTAGGGGAGGTTGGGCAGGCAAGACATGGGCCCAATGTAGATTAGGGCTTTCAGGGACAAGGTGAAGCCCAAGGTCGTCGACACGGGCTGCTGGAATCCAGCGGCCAACACTGAACCGGACCAAAGAAGGGCGGAAAGTGCAATGTTCAGGATCCCACTGTTCATCACTGGTAGTGGGGACAGTAAGCGGGACCGGATCTCCCGGGGTCCAAGCAAAGAGAAGTCCAGGCTGCCTGATGCGAAAGGGGCTGCCCCAGAAGGCTAGCTGACGAGCCTGGAGAAGAGTTTCCCAGAACCGCCCGACGGGTGAGCGGAGGCGCGGTGCCCACGTGGCGCTGGCCAGAGTCAGGACATCACCAGATCGGAGGAATAAGGTGGGATTACAAGTCGTGGCAGTACCGCACCAAGCCTCTGGCGGAGCCAAGACGTATGACAGGTCAGGAATAGAGTGTCTGCTGGCTCGAGCAAGATCAGCCACAGCACAGGTAGCGGGCAGAAGTGCAGCTCTAGTGGCAGGTGGGCATTGGATCAGAACAGTGGCAAACAACGGAGCCGAAGGTACCGGGACCCAATCAATGAACCGGTGGTCTTGAGGTGGACGGACCCTGGTGAAATCGGACCAAGCTGGTGCGGCCTCCTGTAGAGCAGGCGGGACAAACAAAGATGGTCCCGGAAAAGGTCCAAGGAGGCCCCTAGCAGGGTCCCAGAGGCGGTGGCGAAAGCCAGGCGGTTCGGCAGCTGATCCGTCGCAGCTTGACGCAGCCAGAGACCACTGTCGACTGCCGCCCTCGTGGGGAAGACGCGCCCCCGACACCGGAGGGAGAGCGAACAACCAAGCAAGCAGGAGAAAGTAGCCCGGGGCCGAGGAGGCAAAGCCGAGTGCCCACCAAGCCGCAAGCCCCAGAGAGCAGGGGAGCCAACAGGGGGGGAGGAGCCCTGGGCAGCCGGAAACAACATCGCCGCTGCGAAGGGTCGTCCCTTGGCGCAGTTCCTGGTGTGGGACACCAAGGACGCGGGGCTGAGAGGAGATAGATGGGAGCTCAGTCCAGAGTTGCCAGGCATCAGTAACGGCTGTTACAAGGGCACACCAGCAATGGCCGTCTGCTTCCACAATGACATTGACCCGCGTGGGGTCCTCCGGCAGCAAAACCAAGTGGGCGTGATCCTGGGCGATCCAGGGAACCGGAACCCAACGCCCAGGATAATGCAGGCTAAAGTCACCGTCAAAAGTATAGTCAAGAGCGCGCCAGCGGCTGCCTGCCGGCGCGTGTCCCCGGGTTGCTCGAACAGCGGGCCTCTAGAGTATGAAGCTGACGCGGGTGGAGACCGAAAAGTCAACAGCCCAGATGGCGCAATGCCGCACTTGAGCGTCGGAGTGAAAGCACGGGGGTTGATATTCGGGCGCAAAAGCTGCAGGAGGAAGTGCAACAACCAGGTCTCCAGAGCGCCAGCGCACTTCTTGGTCAGATGTGGCATCGGCTGTGAGAGCACTGGGTGCGCGAACAGAGAGAGTTTGCATCGGCTGTAAGAAGCGGAGAGCCGCGCTCATCCAGGACACAGAGGTAGTGCAAGGCACCAGGATAGAGAAGTGCCGATCTAAGGAGGAGACCGCTAAGCAGACAAGGTCAGGTGTCGGGGGGCGGGGAACAACCAGTAGGGCCGGTATGGCAGCTGTCGGCCACACAGGTGCAACTTCAGCACCCCAATTTGGGTCGCAGGAGCGTGTCAGAGCATTAAGCTCTTCAGTAGTCGAGGCAGTGGGCAGTCGCCCAGCCTCCTGGGGACCTGTGAAGGGACTAAGAAGGACAATGTCAATCTCTGTGCGGTTGGTGAGATCAACCAGATCGGCCGCAGCGGCTGGGGCCCGCCACGGGAAGAAACCCACTCGTATGGGCTGTTCCGGCAAATCTAAAGCGGGAATCATGCCCTGACCGGCACCAACCAAGCAAGCAAGGGCGAGAAGCCGGGGCCATCTGGCGGAAAGGACAGCAAGCCAGACCCAGCGGCCAGAAATGGCCGCGGCAACAGAGGACGAGGGCCCCCAACGTGGGCGCGCAGCAGGGCCCGGGGCCGGACCCGCAAGGCTTTGCAGGGGCGGTCCGGTAGGGTCCCAAACCGTATCAGCAGTCGGGTCCAGCACAAGAACATCCCCATCTCGGAGAGGACTGTCAGCCCGAACGTACTGCAGAGCGGGTAGAAGGCGCCACCCAGGCGGTGCACGGAAGGCATTGCAACCAGCGAGCAACAACCCCTGAGGCTCAAGATTAAGAGGAGGACATGGGCCTCACCAGTGGAGGTGCTGTGCACCAGGTGCAGACTGGATAGATCCCCAGAGAGAACAGGGACCCATGACCCTGACAGCGCTCTGCCATTAAGACTCCAGAAGGTGGGACCCTCGGGATCCCAATAGCCGGTATCTCTGATCCGGATGCTATGGCCAGATCGACGGCCCGTATACCACAAGCAGACGTATCCGCCCGAGTCGAATCGAAAGGGGAGCGACCAGCTGGCAACTTGCCGTGCCCGTTCCAGGGAGGCATACTGCAGCAAGGGATAACGGGTAGCACCGGGGTCGGAAGGCTCGGGAAGGAGGCTAAAAGCGTCTCCGTTGCGGAGCCTGATATGCACATTCGGGATAGTAGTGCGCAGCACAGGTGGCGCGATGACTCGCCAAAACCGGGTGTGAGGAAAGACGCGAACAGCAAGCCGGTGAATGTCATCAAGAGACGAGTCAACCGAGGCAAGAGCAACGGCCGAACAACCCTCAATGTGCAGGGCCACAGTGGCAAGACCGTATGGGGCAACCGGGGCGATTGTGATCTGGGAGATTGGGAGGACCGCCCGGACAGGGAAAAAGCGATGGGCCCAAAGCCCGCAGTGGCGCGTACCTTCCTGCTCGATAGACCTCCATGATCTGGTCGTGTCGAGGAAGCTGGTCTCGCTCCATCCCCGCAGGGGGCACAAAACACGAGCCGTGAGTGGTCGGGGACCAGGGAAGCAACGTGCAAGAGGGCCATCGGGGTTATCGGGCTGCCAACCACCTAGCGGTACATAAGGCTCACCATCATTGAAATCAATGGCAGGGGGAAAGAACCTCCCAGGCCAGGGATGAGGGTGAGCGACTTCTGCTGGGCCGTCGCCTAGTGCGGATGGTACGCGCCTCGGAAGAGTCCGCGCTGGGGCAGCGGTCAGAGGCACTCGAGGACGCTCCCCACGCTGGTTCAAGAAGCCCGAAGAAGATAAGGGCAAGTTGGGCAGGGAGGAGAGGACGCCTCCCCAGGAGACCGAAGGCAGCAGAAAGGACCCACCAGTCTCCGTCCCTGGTCTGAGCAACCTGACAAGCCCGACTGGAAGCAGGTCGGAGGGAGAACCCGGCAATGTAGAAATCATGCGCAGCGTCCCGAGCGGTCTCAACACACCTTGTGGCCCCACTAGACTGAATAATGTTGGCATGCCCCGGAGTGGAAGACTGCTCGACGAGCCAGGGGGGAGCACCTAGGTGTCCATGGCAGGGGGCCCAGCGGTGATGGCCAAGCTCCACCTCATGCTGCAGGATCGTGGCTGCCTGATGGCCCAGCAACACGACCCTAGCTGAGCGGCTAGGGGACCACAGTAGCACGCAGGAGGCTTGGGCCACCACAAAATCAGAGTGCCAGGCCGAGGCAGCATGGGCAGCACCCCATGTCAAGTAGACCGGGGGCTCGCGAGGCCCTGCGAGAGGGTCAAGTTGCAGAGGGCAGACAGCTAGAACGTCTCCAGAACGGAGTTCGAGGACTGGCCGATCGGAGTGAACGGTGGCCCCCAGTCCGGGCTGGAGTTTAAGGCTCACACGACGGCCAAGCCTCATCTGGAGGGCCTGAGTGAGGTCTCTGGGGGTCAGGAAGGACGGCAGGATGACACAGAGCATCTGGCCTAAACCCAAGACAATAAGGCAAACCAGCCTACTTCCCGGGAGAGGGACTACAACCTGGGACCCTTCTAAAACCAGGCCAGTGGCAGCAAATCCCCGATGCCACGATGTCAGAGTGCGGTGGGCGTCTGCCATAACATCGTCAAAGAGGTGACGTGGGTCAGCCTCAACACGATGCCATGGCGCAAAAGGGTTGGCCACAGTAACCAGGACCCTGGGTGGAGCAGCTTGTGGAATAACAGAGGATGTGGTCTGGCTCAACACCGAGGTTTCCGGAACCATAGCTTGCGAACCAGGGAGGCACCAGGTCAGCATGAGGAGACGAGAGAAAAGGCCGGAATGGGCCACAAGGGAACCCAGCAGGAGCGAAAGAAAGGTTCCCATTCGACAGGAGGAGAGAGCTGGAACTAAGCCCAGGACCAAACCCCACAGAAGTGGGCGGCCGCCGCAGGCCCCTCGGGCAAAGTCCCCGAACACGACGTCCCCATTCCGAAGCTCACATGCCTGATTGAGAGCGTAGGAGGGGACTCCCCCCACTTGCAGGGATCCAGGGAGGAAGTGCAGCTGATCGGCAAGACTATCGCGCGAGGCGATCCGGTCAACTGTACGGCAGAGGCGGCCTTCCGGAGAGGCAGCAACCACGTTAACCTGAGCCGCGACACCGTGGACCTCGATCAGTTGTAATGCCCGGGCACTGGACCACTGGACGGGTGTCCACATACCTGGAAAGTGGTTACGAAAAGTGCCGGTGAACGTAAAGGATTCTGGGCACCAGGCTTCTCCAGCGGAAACAGAGGCCAACAGGGGTGGGCGATTAGGGCGAAGCAGGTGTACAGAAATGCCGAACATAAGTTGAAAGCCCGTAGCCCAGGGAGCGTGATGAGCTGCAAGGCCATCCTGAAGGTGCCAAGGATCGACAAACTCGAGCGGCTCAGAAGGGTCCTCCGGAGGGTCATGGATGTACACGACATCGCCGTTGCGAAAACGGAAAGCCGCAGGCGGAACATCAAAGAGCTCGCAGATCGCGAGCCCGTGCGGCAGGGAAATGCCATCAACGGGGCTGTTGATGTGGCGCGAGATAAAGTCTGTCAACCACGCCACTGTCATGGTCCGCGGAGTGAGCGTGGCCCGATGGTGACCCCGCCACATCAGCATTATGGTTACAAGGGCCGCATCTTGTCCCACCGGGACCATGGACAACTCGTTGAAGGCGGGGCCCGGCCACACAGGAAAGAAGTCAGATGCCCATCCTGGGTCGTCGTTGAGGAACTGGGCCCAGACTTGGCCGTGACGAGTGCCATGGGAGGCTGTGTATGGGGGAAACACCCCCAAGAAAGGACTGTGCAGGACAACGTAGACCGGGTCCTCCGCCGTAATGGCGGAGAAGTCCCGGTTGATTGGATCAGTACCCCAAGGGAAGCCACCTGGTCTATGCATGCCCTGTGCTAGAGCGACGCCAGCAAGGAGCCCAAGAGAGAGGCGCATTGGTGGGGTAACCCGACAAAAGATCAGGGAGAAGCAGCCCCAAGACAAAAAGGGGCGACCTTGTGAGGAGAAGGGGATGTCGGGGCTGCCGGCAGCAGGTTCGGCTTCGCTAGTCGGTGCAACAAGGGCGGCGGCTTGGGCCGGCGGGGGAGGAGACCGTGACTGAGAACGAGGTCTCACAGCCAGACAGTCGCCATTACGAAATTGGACGACCGAGGACCCTTCCTGAACCTCTGGGGGGCGAAGGTCGTACTCACTCCCGTCAAGCTGCAGAGCACGTAATGCCGCGGTCCCAACACAGACCGGGAGACAGCAGGGCACAAGACGGCCTTCCAGCACAATACCGACAGCGGCGTTCCCAGGCGCCTGTGGACACCCGATGAGGTGTACAGCGGTAGCATCGGGCTGCGGTTGCAGAGGCACTATATCGGCCCAACCCCGGCTGCGGGCGTGTCCCCTGAATAGTACAAAGGGATTGATCTCAGGGCCAGCAGAATACTCGACAAGCTCGCACTGCTGTCGGGCGGTGAAGGGATTGTGAATGCAGAAAGGGGTGCCAAGGGGGATAGCGGCAGCAAAGGAGCGCAAGCCACGTTGAAGACCAAGCAAGTCAGCCTGAACGCGGCGGACAGTGTCCTCGTCCGCGGCGGGCTCCCTTTCAATTGAAGACGGCCATAGGCCTAGCGCGTAGTCCTCCAGCGGCCGGGCGGCGCGGAGGTACCACATACGAGGCTGGAAAGGGGCATTGACAGGCTCTGGTGGTGGTGGGCCAGCAGGGCGAGAGACCGGGTTGGGCTCCGCAGCAGACATGTTGAAGGCTTGGACAGGCGGTGGACCTTCATCCTCGGACTGTTCGTCATCCGAACTAGCAGGCGGCACACTGATGATGGAACCTGCACCTAAGGTTGCCAGGGCAAGGAGGCGCCCGAATGCTGAAGCTCCAAAGTAACCCCGAGTACATACTAAGGTCAGAATAACCACCGAAAGCCTATCCTGTCGCCGACAGCTCGAAACACTCGCAATATCGAGCAGATCAACGGTGGAGGGGTTCACCGCAGCGCAGGTACTTTGCGAGGCGAGTCGCAGAACAGGTTGCGATTCCCCAGCTGGTTCTGCATGGGGTTCAGCAAGGCCGGCCCAGAGTCGTGAAGTGTGAAAAGAAAGCTCCTGAGACAGCATGTGAACTCGGGAAACCGTAGCATGATCGAGGCCAGTGCCATTGCCTGAGAGGTCAGTTTGGACTTCCTGATCAACCAGAGGGACATGCGATGCGCCGGCAGCACGTCGGTTCCCGTGTCCATCGAGGAGTATGGCCGGTTCTAGCGCCGGGCCCCTGCTAGGAACGTGCCGGAAGTAAGGTCCCTCAACCACCAGCGGGTCCGGGTTCCAAGGGTCGTCATCGCCCGGGATCCTCGCAAGAGCACCAATCAAAATCTGAATGACAGCTCCCGATGGAAAATCAGGCAAGGCAGCCCCTGGCGGGTACAGCTGGCCGGCGTAAGAGAGAGCAGGGCTCCGCTCTGGCAAATGGCCCCCCGGGAAGAGAGCTCTGAGATGGGCAGAGACGACATCCCAACTGAAAGGCGAATGCCCGAAAGTAACAGCCGCAGCGTCCCCCCAGTGGAGCAGCCAAAACCGGACCGTGGGTCGAGTGGCAGGGACGACCGGCACGAACAGGACATGCTGGACAGAGCTGTCCGTGGTGGAATGAGTGGGCCGGAACTCGCCGGGATCGTCAATATGGTGTAGACGGCACATCAGCTCTCGCAACCACCGTGTCGGGTAACCCTGAGGACGCCAAGGCAGGTCAACAGGTGCGTTAATGTTGAGAGTCCAGATGCGAATGGTTGTCGGAGGAGGCGGCGGAGCCTCGACGACTGGGGCAAGAGCAAGCAGTTGAGGAGGTTGCATAGAGGCCACGTGGCGGCAGAGCATGAGCAACGCGAGACTGCCGAGAAGCGAGGGGGGCCGAGCCCGGGCTGCGACAATCTGAAGAACTCCATCAACAAGTTTACCCTCTAAACCCGGAAGAACTCTAGTAATAAGTGCCCGGGCCCCTTGCGGGCAGGGAGACATATGGCGGACTTCAGCAGAGGGCTCAACTATATGGACAACCCCATCCGGCTCCACAGCGCAGAAGAAAAAGGAGCAATGGGAGGTGTAGTGCTGGACCACCGGTCGGAGAAGCTCACAACCAATTGAGTCTCGCAGTATCCACCAGCCATAAGGTGAAGGCGGGGAGACGAGGAGATCGAGCACTTGGGGGCTGGAGTCGAAAGCCACGTGCAAGCCGTATTCGCAGTCTGGCAAGAAGGCGCCGAGGTAAGCACTAAGATGCTGGTCGAGGTGTCGAGCACCAACCCTCAGGTGGACGGGGCCTTGCCCAGGAAGCCAAAGGTGCATCTGCACTTCTGAGTGGGGTGAGGCGCCAGTAACATACGCGCCGAGTTGAGGTGCAGAAAGGGCGAACCCGCGCGTCTGTCGGGCAAGCTCGTGAGTCCAAGACATAGTGCAGGGCCGCGAGAAATCTCGACGGGTTTGCAGTGTCTCGGATTCCGCGAGATGAGAGATCAAGGGAGCAGGCTCGACCGTCACGCGGACTGACACCACAGGGAGAAGGAGACTGAGGGCACACAGTAGCGAGTGACGCCGCAAGCAGGGCAAGCCAAGAGCAGCAGAGGCTAAAGGGCTCGGAGGCGGTGGCGGGCTAGGCGTCTCAGCCTCGCAGTTACGCACCAGTTGGGAAACCCCTTCAGGAGAGTCGTATCCAACGCTGACACACTGCATCGCAACACCTGTGATGTCACGGGGCAACGGCCAAACACGGCTGTCGCTGGACAGAAACGTCTGTGGGAGCTCCCAGAGGGACAGGGATAGGGCCTGTGCGACAGCTTCCCAAGAGGGGGCAGGGGTGCACATACCGTAGAGTCGGCTCCCTTCTCGAAGAGCCCATACAGTGAAACCAGGCAAACATGCAACCAAGCACTTGACGTGCCATGCATCGCACCAGAGGTCAACGAGTTCGGAAGCAGAGTCGGGTGTGACGCCGGCACCGCAAACAGACGGAGGTGCCTGGAGTACAGCAGCCGGCGTGCTGGCAGAAATGAAGGGGGCATTAGTTTGGGAACCTATGCTATGGAAAACCCGGGTCCTAGGGGGAGGAAGGGGCGGAGGCGTGCGAACAAGTCTCGGCTCCCAACTGATGCTCAGAAGGTGCTCCCGGGCCCGTGCAAAGTCGGCCTGCACATGGACATGCCAGTAGCGACAGTCAGCCCGACCAGGAAAGGAAGTGCATTCCCAGGTTAGAACAGAAAGGCCGAAGGGCTGCAACCTCCGAAGCAGAGCCGCGGCGGGGCGGTTGCTGCGAAGAAGGCTTTCCAAGAAGGCCGGGAAAGATTCAAAGACTCCAGAGAAGGCCAAGTGCAGACCCACAGCAGAGGGGTCAGACGCATCTGTCAGCCGATATGTGACACAGTCCTGGCCAGGGAAGGCGGCGACGAAGGCGGCATGAGGGAGAATGTCAGCTCCGGGCAGCGCAACGAAGACATGCTGGCCTGGGGTAACGCTGCGCAGCAACGCACCCAGCACAGAAGCGTCAAGGTCGCATGCACGCGGGACCTCGAAAGATAACACGCCTGCGACAGGATGGAGCAGCGACACGATTCGACCTTCCTGAAGCCAGCGCGAAGCAGTGCCATCATTATGTGGAAAAACAAAGGCTGAGACGTCGAGGGTGCGCGCCTCTGTGCTGACACGCACGCGTACCACGTCCCCTTGGCGAAGACGATGGGCAGTGCCCCGAAGGATCTGGACGTCAGTCGAAGCAGCCGCGGTCTGCGCAGCCGCAAGAACATGATCAGCACTGTAGTCCTTTGGCAGTTCAACACAGACAACCTCTCTACCTAGATCCAGAAGAACCGTCAGGGTCTCAGGGCGGGGCGGGAGAGAGACAAGGTTAACCGCCTCAAGAGTAGGGCCTGAAGAAGCAGCAACAATCTGGGGGCGACCAAGTCGAATGGCCTGACGGTAGAGCTCGGCGGCAGCGTCACGAGCACTCTCAGTGTTGGCGAATTCAAGGCGGACCGAAGATCCGGGCCACCAAAGGCGGCAGGTGATGAGGAACACCTCGCTGGCGGAGGGGAGAGCTGACCAAAGCGGCCCCTCGCCAAAGTCGCCAACCTGAAGCCACCTGGCCTGTAAATGCGTGTGGGCACCGGCTGGGGCCGCAACCTGACGGTCAGGAGCCCGACTAGCTGAAACCACAACATCCCTAGGAGTGGCAGGTGCACTGTGCATCTGAACGGCATTACCTGGCATCCCACAGGAGATGACGAGGCACACACCCCAGGCAAGGAGGCTCCCGACGTCATGATGCAGCCCACGCAACACACAAGCCGCCAAGAGAATACCCCGAGTACCGCTGAATTGGCTAACAACCGATGAGGAAACAGAGCCAGGCTCGGCGGCCGGCTCCAAGGCACTGGGGGGGGAGGTGTTGAGAAACTCAGACGGGGTGACTCCAGTGCATGCGGGCAAGGCAGTAGACGTGGAAGCCCTAGCGGGGGAGGGCAACAGGGTGTGCTGCAACGCCGAAATGGTGTCAGAGGTACCTGGGGTGTCCCAACCGCCTACCTGGTCCTCCGAGGAGGAGGAAGAATCTTGACGGAAAACATGCGGGAAGAACATGACAACAATCGGGACACTGCTGGTGAGGACCTGGTCTGGTCATACCGCAAGCTCTCGATGGAGGAGGCCGAACCCGCCACGAGCACACTGTTCGACCCACTCGTGGGGGAGGCTGCTGCGGTCCCGTCGGGAAGCAACCGTAACAGCCGCGAGAGCAGAAACAGGAGGAGGAACGCAAACGGTAGTCAGCCTCCAGCCAACTGGACGGAAATCAAGAATGCAGGGTACCTCATCCCTAGTACAGTGTACCTCCATGAACTGCACAAGGGGTAGTGAAGGGAGCGGATGCCAGATGCGAAGGACCCCCCCACGGGCACTGGGAGACGCCCTAGTAGACACAATACGTCGAAACGTAGCAGCGTCAGCAAACACCGGGGCTTCGACATAGACCAGTCCATTAGGGGTGATGAGGACAGCTTGGTTATGCGAGTGGCCCGGGAATGCTTCGTGGGCTGAGGGTGCCGTCGGGAGGCTCACCTGCATGGCCGAGAACAACGAAAGGGGCGGGTCCAAAGAAGAACCGACAGGTCCTTGCAACGCATCCGCAGCTGGGCCAATCTGAAATTGCAGAGTGTCAACGTCCTGCAGAAGGAGGGGTTGGGACATCAGCGTCAACCAACCCCAGGGGCACTTAGCAAGCAGAAGGTCAACTTCAGTCTGCATCGTCTGAGCTGTGAGAGCGAGCACCGCAATAGCTCTGCAAGTAGAGTCGCGGGGGCACATAAGCATGCAGATGCGGCCACCCAGCGGACGAAGGTCAACCGGCAGCCAGACTTGACGCCATGAACAGGCAGCCGGAGTGAGAAGAAGCTGCTCACTTGGCAGGCCGGGAAGTACCCCACGGATGGCTGAGACAGAGAAGACACCGGCAGGGAATCCCAAGGTGGCGGCAAGCCGGGCATGCAAGAGCGGCCCATGCAGCCATTCGTCAACCAAGAAAGGGACGGGGCAAGGTTCGAGAATGGGAGCCCCAGGCGGTGTACCCACAAAAGCAGCAAGGTGCCGACGACTGCGGTCGCGCGGGAGAAGCAAGTTACCCGTGCGGCCGACGGGGTATACCTCGCACATTTCCTCAGCAGTAGGAGTGGGCAGAACCGGCCCCGTACTGAGGACAGGAAGGCCCTCATGAAAGCCGTGGGCATGCAGTTGCACAGCAGTGGGAGATCTCAGCCACCAGGAGGAGACAACCGCCGCGCCAAGGTGGAGAGTGGCGCCATCAGCAACTGAAAGGTAGAGCAGAAGAAGCGTCACCTTGAAGCGAGGCCCACTGGAGCGGCGCAGACGCACGTTGGTGCGGAAACGAGCCCCTTGTATCCTAAGACCCGCTAAAGAACCTCTGGCGCCACAGGCCGCACTAGACTTCCCAAACACAGCAGCCTTGAGACAAGTGACCCAAGAAAAGGTCAAGACCAGCTCATAGGCACAGTGCCATCGATGCGAAGCCCAAGACAGGGCGAGGAGGGCCTGGGGGCAAAAGACCATACCCCTGCCTGGGAGAAAGGCAATGAGGTCGCTGATGCCGACGCACAACAGTCTAGGGTTGGGGCTCAAGGCGGCATCCGGGAGTAAAGCAAGCAAGGCAAGGGCCTCACTGGCAAGAGCACAGCCCACGGAGGAGACAGGTGGTCCAATCACAGCCGCGGTCCACCATGCTGTGGCTGACAGAGTACTGCCAAGCTGCCAAGAGCGGCGCCACGAGAGTCTTGGCCCATACGACCGCAAGAAGCGTTCCGTAACAATTGAAACCCGACGGAGAGCTATATACACTATTAAACAGCGCCCGAGGAAAATGCTAATGGCTGCCCAAGTGAGGTCTGCCCAAGCAGAACCCACCGAGTCGCCATCAGCAGGGCAAACTGTCACATGTGTCAAAGCGCCCCGGCAGGTGTGGAGACATGTGCTGCTCGGAACTCCCCGTTGAAAGGACCGCGGCAGCCCGTGTCGTACAGTCATCGGTCTGTAGGAGGCGCCACATTCCGTGGGAAAGGACATGTGAGTCGACACAGAATCTGCACATGCGCGTTGGAAGCGACCTCGGCTGCAAGATACCCCTGTTGGGGCAGGCCCTGCTCCACCACAAGCGATGGGTGCAGCCATTCTTGCCACGTCCCGGGGGCATAGCTGAAGGGATCGTTGATGCTCCCCGTTGCTGCATGTGCTGCCACCAGTACGCCCTGGCGTACCTTGGACAGGGCTCCGGTGCAGCTCCGCAGGCGATGCAAAACGTCTTGCAGACGAAGATGGAGGTCTTCCAGTAGCTGTAGAGACGGCCCTGCAACCACATGGAGCAGCTGATCCCAGGCACCACCCGCAGCTTGTACAACCTGTTCCACCGCTTGTTCGTCGACGGCATTTGGCAGGGCGGCGTCCTGCTCCGTGCACGAAGACAGCTCCCCGACAACGTCCGATCCACTGTCGGCAACCATGGCTAAGACTGCCAGCCATGCGCGGCACCAAGCCTCTTGGACAGCACCAGGATCTGGCACAAGTTCCACGTCGTCCTCCACTTCGGTCTGTTGGGGCTTGGGTATGCCTTGGGGAGTAAGCCCCGTGGAAGGTTGCGCCCATGGCTCGCCCACATCCACAGGTCCCGGGCCTCGTCTGGGACTTTTGGATGGTCTGTCCACAGTCCCACTGCCTCGTTTCCGCCATCGTGTGACCTGTATATGGGCCGGGTCCACAGTCACGCTCCCAGTATGGGGCGCCATGTTCACATCCTGAAACGCACCACCAAAGCTGACCTCGGAGCCCTCGTGGGCCGAGGGCAGCACAGCAGTCGGTCCAGCAAGGATCTCGCCCATGTGGAAAGGAGCTGGTGCCGGCAGTTGACCCGAGCTCAGTTGGCCACCGCCCGTGTGGCCCAGATGGCTCGGCATAGGCATCGGCGCACCGACAGCAGCGAAAGCCTTCAGCGCGACAGCAATGCGCTGTATTTCGGCCTCCTGCGCACCGTGCCAGACGGCACCAAGAGCCGATGTCGCCGCAGCCACCTTCTCGGAGGATGCCGTTGATGGCTGGTGTACGAGAACCTCCTGCAGTTCTCCCACGGCTGCAACGATGTCCTCGTCGAGCTTGTTGCCAATGGCTCGGACACGACCCACAAGTCCGAGCAAGTGCTGGCTGATCATCGTCAACCATGCACCCAAGGACGTGCCAAGCTCCTCTTTCGCACGCAAGTCGCTTGCCAGACGTTTGGAGAGCCGGGCCAGAGAGTTTGCATGCCTTTGTGCGAGCTGTTCCACGGACGCCTCGTCCGTGGCGAATGCATGCTGACCCCAAAGATCTTGGGTGGCTCTTGTCGATATAGACTGCAGGGCAGACGCAACGGCCGAAGGTAAGCCGTATTCCACACGCGATTGTTGTGGAACGTCGGTCTTGCCCTGGGTCTTCCCGCCAGCTTTGCCCCCAGCATTGGAAGCATTCTGTTTGGGAGCCATGCTTCCGTGGTGGGTCGCGATGAGGAAGAGGTGCCTCGCCGTATACGAGCCGCTCTTCAAGGCCTTCCTGGCCTTGTGCCGCGCCCTCCTTTGTCTTCTGTGCCACGTGGGACTGCGCGGCCGCCGCGCCGTCGTGTCCCAGCCAAATAAGTCCCAAGCCAACCAGAAAAAGCGGCAATATTGGGAAATATCGAGCCAGGGCAGTCATAGAAGGGCGCGTAGCCCGGGGTTGGCACAGTAAAGGCAGCAACCCACAAAAACCAGGTTCGCCGGCAGGAACCAAGTATAAATACCACACCAGTGGCCACAAGCCAACGGCCAATCAAATGGCAGCGTTGGTATGCCAGAGGAGCGCCCTCTAGCTCGGCCCTCCGGGCCGTAGGCAGTTCCACCGGGGAAACCGCCAGACGCAACGAATGCTGGGGTCAGGAATGGCGAGGACCGAGGAAAAACTCCACAAGGAGACTACCACGATCACCTCGCCTCGAGCCGTGACGCCTAAACCCCCAAACCCTCAATCCAAACCCCTAAACCCCTAAACTTCTAAACCACCACAAACCCCTAAACTAACCCGCCCTAAACCCTGAACCCATGTCCACCCCCCCACCCCTCCCTTTCCGGCCGCGTGCATGAGAGCATATCCGCCGGGTTCTCGCCCTTCAGACGGTTTGATGTTTAAAGTTTAGGGTTCAGGGTTTAAAGTTTAAGGCTCAGAATTTAAAGTTTAAGGTTTAGGGGTTAAGATTCAATTTTTAAAGAGTTCAACTTACAGTCTAGGGTTGAGGCTTTAGGGTTATAGGGTTATATTATAAAGCCCGACCTCCATTGGTTCACAGTTTGGGGCGTAGGCTGCTCAGGCTCGATTACGTAAGACACAGTTACGGTCTATCGGCATCTAGGATCAAAGGGGAAAAGGAGGGACCCCACCCCTGCAATGGGCTTTATAATGGGTATATAAATATAGCTATATTAAGGGTATATACCTAGGGGTCCTATTAAGGGTCCCTCCGTTTAACCTTGGATAGGATAACGTTGTGTTGTCTTGTTTAGGGCTTAGGGTCGAGGACGGATGCAGCCACGTCCAGAAGCCAGAAGCCTGGAACGTCCCCCCAACCCCAAAACTGTAAGCCTGACTGTTGAGCCCGAAAGACATGCGAGTTACCCTCTCCTAGGGGTGTACAATACTAGTCTGTGAGTCCATGCCACATACGGTCACATAGTACAGAAACAGCACACGACATAACCTAAGACTGTTCAGTGAGGTTCCAATGGTGTTGGAGTTGGAGGTTATGCAGACGGGCTGCTGAACAAACGCTTATCTCAAACAAGAAGAAAGATGCTTATCATAATCGTGATGTCTGCATTAGAGTTGAAGAGAGTGCGTCACTCCTATATCAAGAAACCTAATTCAGAGAACTTCCCATATTCACCTCAACCATACAGCCGAGCCTGTCTCTAAACTGGAAACCCGGCCCTTGGACTTGAAGACTTCCAACTTCAAATGGGCCATGTGGTCCCTGCAGTCTCGATCGTATTTTGCTTGGTGGGCTTCTTGGACTTGGTTGAGGTCCTCGTCGATCTGGCGTCTCTTGAGGTTCGTGATCCGGTCCAAGTCTGCCAGCCTCGTCTTCGACCTCTTGGCCCTTCTCTCCTCCACCTCCGCCACGATTCTTTCCTCCCATTCGGCATCAGAGGTGTCCCTGACTTCGTCCATCTGATCCCTGTACTCCTGGAGGTCCCTGGCAGCTCCGTCCCTTTCAGCTTCCTGGTCGTCCTGGAGCTGGACCTGAATGCATGGAAATCGAAATATATTCAAATTGAACAGAAAGGAAGGAAATAACAGAGAATATATTTTTTTGAGGAAATATATATTTTTTACAGAGTAGACGATAATTATGTCTTTTGTCGGATGGATCCCAAGCCCCAAACCTATAAAGCCCAACCCTTTATCTGAAATCCTCGACCCCAAACCCGCGACTGCAAACACTTAAAGCCCAACCCCCTAAAAAGGGCCCCTGAACCCGAAATCCTCAACCCCACACCCTTAAAGCCTTAAAACACAATTCCCCTTTATAGTCGATACTTAGGCCTTCAAGGGGTCCCTTTATAGGTACTTTAAGGCGTATGTATCTACTATATGGGTACATGGAGCCTGAGGGCCCCACACCCTTAAAGCCTTAAAGCCCAACCCTAAACCCTAAACCCTGAACCCCTAAACCCTGAACCCCTAAACCCTTACAGTAGAAGCCAGAAAGTTGGAATATCATTATCGTAACCCCTTTAAGGTAAATTACAGGGGATCCTACCATTAATCTATATTCCAACTTTCTGGAGTTCCCTTTAACGCCTTAAAGGCCCAACCCCTGAAAGGCGATCCCTCGGTGTCGGGCCTGGTCCTCTCCACGGCGCCTAGGAGAGGCACTCTGGCTAAGAAGAGCTCCGAAGACTCGTTTGGCTATCCCTTACAGTAGAGTCAGAGGTTTTAGGGTTATATGGTTTAGGGTTATAGGGTTTAGGGTTTAGGGGTTTAGGGCGGGTTTAGGGTTAGAGTAGAAGCCAGAAAGTTGGAACATGGCTTCAGGAGGACTACTTTAGCGCAAGGGCATGGGGATCATGATGTTCCAACTTTCTGGCTTCTATTATAATTAGGGGCTTTAATATGCATGTGTAGCATATGCTCGGGACTTGAAGGGATTCCTCTATAGGAACTTTACCACCAATGTGCAGGCTACAAGTGCACCCTTTGGATACGTGCTCTAGTTTGGCCCGATGTATGTCAACTCCACATACATCTGCATCTGGTTGGATTCCTACATTATGAACTCTAGGACTCCACCCCACACCTTCCCCCTTGAATGAACTGACCGCACCTGCAGGGAAACCCTCGACTTGAAGACCGCTCCCTTTAAGGTTCCCAGAGAGCCCAATCCCCCTTAACTAAGGAGTATACGGCTTAAATTATATAGGGCTTCATATTATGATTTAAGCTCTATTCCTTAATTAAGGGGTATTGGGCTCTCTGGGTTTAGGGGTTTAGGGTTACCG